TTAAAATCCATACAAAAATACATATTTTTTTAAAAATTAAAATATATATATAAGTGTGTATATATATATATATATATATATATATATATATAATGAATGCCTACTGTGTGTTGCCTGTTAAAGGACTGAATGTTTTATGTACAGCCAAGGCTATTTTTAAGCTGTGGCATATGGCCAGCTAGGATGTTACAATACTGACATAGTCTGTAGGAGTTGGCCAGTGTCTGGCACACCGGCCTCTGACTTCCTGGCTCCTCCTCCCCCAGATGTCCCCACCCCAGGGGTTTTCACTGATCCCGCTCAGGACAGTGGCTACTGTCAGTTCTGTTAGGCTCCAGCTGTGGGCAAACTACGGCCCGCGGGCCGGATCCGGCCCGTTTGAAATGAATAAAACTAAAAAAAAAAAGACCGTACCCTTTTATGTAATGATGTTTACTTTGAATTTATATTAGTTCACACAAACACTCCATCCATGCTTTTGTTCCGGCCCTCCGGTCCAGTTTAAGAACCCATTGTGGCCCTCGAGTCAAAAAGTTTGCCCACCCCTGTGTTAGACCCTGCCCATGCTTTCGTGGCCGTTCACATTTTGAACTTGACTATCCCACTGCATCTTCATGCAAAGCCCTGTTAGTATCTCTGTCTCACAGATGAGGAAGACGGGCTCAGGGACACGAGTCTGTAGCTGGAGCTGGAACCCAGAGGACTGACCCAGTGTGGGCACTGGACCACCGGACCACCAGCCATGCTCCTGATGCAGAGACGGTGGCCACTCTCCTTGCTCCTCCCCCTTTGCTATAGCCCTGAAGCCGAGTCTAAGAGAAACTAGATCACCAAGCCAACAACTTCTCTTAATTACCATACCTCCAGCCCCACCTGTGTGACCATCTCAGAGCTCCATTCTTCTGGAGCCCATAACTCCTGGGCAGGAGGAACTAGGGGCTGGGAGACCTATGACTTGGGGTCCACCCCAGCTATGCCCTTTCTCCTCCCTGCCTCCCCATCAACTGTGCTTGTTTAGCAGTATTCAGGGCACATGGAGCTGCTGCTATCACCGTGGAGGACTACAGGCTAAGAGACATGCTTTTCCCAGGGTCTTCTGAACAATGGGAGGGGACATGAGCTGCAGGAGGAAGATTAAGGCTGACAGGGGTAGGTGCTGGTGTTCGTGGAGTATGTATGAGGCTGGGACAGTGGCACTCAAGCGCTCAGTCTCTGAGCATCTCCCGTAAATTGGACACTGCTGAGCCCAGGTCCATCCTAGGCAGAGTTTGGGGATGAATCATGTCCCCTGAAAGGCCCGCTTGGTCCCAGAACTGGACGCACATCAACAGTCACTAGATGTGGAATGATACTGGCCTTCATGCCCTAACGGTGTCCCCTTCCCCCATGCCCTGCAGGGGTTGTATAGTCTAATCTAAGGAATGCTAGCAAGCCCAGTGATACAGGCATCTTCTCTGCAGGACTTAGCATAATCTTGATGGTGCAAATAAGGATGATAAATCACCGAGAGGGCTCACTGGGAATGTTTCACCCATGGAACACTTATAACATCTCCATGGCATAGAGTTCCTCTGAACACTGTTTGGCAAATGCTGCTCTAAAGACAAATACCTTTTCACTGGGTGAGGGGGGAGGAGATTAGAAAGGAGGGACTTTTTTTAACCCCCAAGGAAAACACATTTTCCATTTCCTTTTTTTCTAAAAAAATTCTTTTTTAAAAAAAATTTTTTTATTAATTTCGGAGAGGAAGAAAGAGGGAGAGAGAGACAGAAACTTCAATGATAAGAGAGAATCGTTGATCGGCTGCCTCCTGAGCGTAGTCCTGCCGAATCAAACCTTAGACCCTCCAGTCACCAGCTGACGCTCTATCCACTGAGCCAAACCGGCCAGGGCTCTTACCGAATTCTTAACTCCTTCTGGGCTCTCTTTTAGGAGGCCCCTAACTTTGCTTTTACAAATGCTCCCATTAAAGTAAAAAAA